GCGAGGGCTGGTAGTCCCAAGGGAACCGGGTTTACTGCGTTGTTCGACGTGATGGTGGATGAGTTGTTCGACTAGGTGAAACTAGGAACGTAGCTTAGAAAGTTCGACCTTTTGATACAACGGTCTATACTCCTATACCGATGCCTGACTCGTAGACAACGAGCGAGGACTTGTGGACAGTACGTCGTCCTGAAGATCGAGCGAGGAAGTCGAGAATGACCACTACCCCAAGCGAAGAGGAGCAGAGACTTGAATGAATAACCAGGTCGAACTTAGAGTTCGACCGACTAATGGTACAACTACTTATACAAGTACCGACTACGCACGGACCATCGTGTCTATGTGGTCGTGTTAGTGAAGAAAGGAATGTAGTGGTACGATGCCGAGTACGAAGTGCGCACGGACCCCATTATGTAAGCTACATAATGTTCAACCTGCGGGTGAGCGCTAAGACAGGCGCCAGTATGGGCGCTAGTAGTACAAGGAATAGAACGGAAAGACAAATGTTTCACGCATAATACTCGTAATCGCAGGGTATCTAAGGTAAGCCGACATCAGTACCATTTTATTACCCGGATGAGAACTGTGGCGCGTACAGGCGAAGCGTCTCGCGGCAAATCGCATCGAGCAATGGCAGACGGTTAAGCTGTTCATATGATATCTGGTTTCCTGCACCGGCTCCAAGTAATTCCGCTCTTAGTTTCTTCTGCCAGTCTTGATGTTCCGCCAGAGTTTGCAAAATGTGAACCAGTGCGTTCGAGGTTGTGTCTGATGCTGCGAAGATAAGTGTCCTGCGGCAATTTAGCCTGGGTGCAACGTGGTTGTTAAAGCGACATGCTGCAGTGACTTACGACATTTGTCCAATTAGTTCTTCTTCTGTCATGCGATCTCCATCGGATGCCACTTGATTAGCCTTCACTAGAGGGCCGTTCAATACTGTTGCACGCACGGAATGTATATAGAACGAGCGACATACTCAAGACACTCATGATATCCTTCCCCTCTCCAATTTGCTGGACAACATCCTTGTCGCCTTTATTCAATGCCTCTTTCTTCGACTCGTAGATCTCCACGGACCTCCTGGTCATGCAATCTACTACCGATTTCAATCTTCGAAGTCCGGCATTCGGAAATACATCGATAGCCAGGCGCCGCAGCCATGCCGGTCCGATGCCGCAGACCCATGGAACCAGTCGCTCCAGCAAGTCGACGCTGACGAGGGAAGGGCTAGCAAGTTGCAGATGTACATTAGAATTCAGAGTGTGAGGGAAAAGGACGACTCACGTCAAGGCTTTGAGAGCATCGCCGTAGTCATCTTGCATCTCAGAGGCTAACGAGCCGAAGGAGTAACCTAGACCACCCTGCCCCACGAGCTCGAGCGCGGCGCGCCCAGTCCAATGCAGCATGTCAATCTCAGAGTGACCGTCCTGTATCTGGGCCAGGATAGCATCGCGCATCTATGTTACACCGTGTGGATCGTAATCAGCGCGACAATTATAATGGCGCGCTCATGCAACAATATTTGCGTGCGAGCTACCTTATGTATGATACTGTAGAACATCGGAAGCATAGAGCGCATGTGTTTCACGGAGAAGACCGGATTCAAGATCTTGCGCTGCTTACGATGTTGTTCCCCTTGAAAAATCACTAAGTCAATATTCACCCTACCCCTGCCAACAATCACTCACCCAGTGTCGACACTTACTTGATAAACCAGTCCGGTTCTTCGAATATATGTTCTTCCTTTATGAGAATGGTGTGCAGTGCTTTAGGATCACCCACTAAGACCATGGGGCGCTACAGATGGTCTTGGTATCACGAAAGCAGCGTGTGCAGCTAGTGCGTACATACATTGAGAAAACTCCGCAATTTGATGACAGGCCCATGATTGATATGAAGATCCTTTTGGTATTCCATTGCGAAACGGTTAAAAAAAGGCTCAAGAGACCCTAGAAAGACCAATGGAACGAACAGTGCTGAGTCCAAGCATACAATAGTATGGTATGGTGTGACTGACCCGTGAGGAACGACGAGGCAGTAGGACCTGGGATGTTTTCAAGGATAATGTTGACAGAACGGCAATGGACCTGTTTCCAGAAGTACCATAGTGAACCTACGGCAAAAAAGATAGGCAATAGAAAAAATGGAGTATCCATAGTGGACTATGGGAAGAGTCACGATCGGCGCCAGATATACAGAAGGTCTTTATGCGTCTGGCCATGCTTCTCGAGGAGCTGTGTCACGTAATAATGCATGATGATGCGGGCCGCACAATTGGTGGGACATCGTTGATTATGTAGGACACACCATCACATATACCGCCGAATCAACGATAGGGCAGTTCTTAGAAGTATGCCCGGAATGTATATAGACCCAATGAGGGTATGCCGAAATTACTTCTCAAATAAACCTTGAGTCAAGTCTCACGCATATCATAAATATTGAGGACGCGCATCGAATTGACTATTTACTAATGCTTTAATGATATTCTGATTGGCAAGCAGACTTGACCCTCGATGAGATGGTCAGGTTCGACACCTGAGTCTCACAGGAAAGAAATATGGAGTACTGAACACCGTACAATGTTACTATATATAGAAGTCAGTCATCGCCGCCAACGCAAAAAGTAGGTGGTTTTGCTTACGCATTCAAAGTGTCAGCTGCACACACAGGGGCGAAGGTCTCTCACGGTCCATTTCATTACTGCATCATGTTCGCCAGATGCCATTGGACCGCAGCCACCATCAAGGGAGCGTGAGCTCAGCTGTATACCATTATCGGCATCATCAAGGTTACGGTGCATCTATACAGATTTGGCATGTTCGATGTGCTGACAAGATCAGGAGCCTCTTGATAATGTTCGGAGATACCAAGGAATTCCATATTTATAAGTCACAGTTTAGGACCTTAAGCCAGTCAGATGCAGTTAGTGTCCGCAACTCACAGCGTGAATGACCTATGACGTGCGTACTAGATAGCGCTACCGGAAGCGAGGACAGTCTGTGTGCTTAGACATACATATAAATTGAAGTCGCACTCCATTGTGCAGCACCTGTTGAGACATCAGGTTTACCGAATGACTATCAGACAATTTGTAGAGGTAAGAATGCATAAATGCTCACCTCGGACACATCATTAATTGAGGTGTTAGACTGAAAATTAGTACACACTTGGACCCAACCGTCCATACGAACGCTCAATAAGGATAGTCACCTACTGCAAGCAATATATATAAGAACCTTCGGACAATGGTTATGATTTATGAGCTAGTCTGCAACAAACAGTCTTTGTTACGATGACAGTACTTTATCCTATGAGAATCACTTAGCATCGGTGGCCGCACAATACTAGTGATACGCATCGTGTTTCATAAGTGATCACTACATTCGCTTGCCGCTCAATCCCATGCAAGGGTGCAACATACTACTAGGTGTGTCCCCCTCAGGAACCCGTATACACCTCGACCTTCAAGGGGAGACGAGGTGTGTTGCTCTCTCTTCCAACTGTCGGATAGTTTACTCCGCCTAGATTCCACACGATCGGCGCTCCGGTCGGCTTGAAGATGAAGGACGAAAGCAAGACGGACAGCACCACCTCTGTTCAAGTGTCTCTCCGTTAGTACAGTGCTCCTCAGTCACTTCCGAGACGTACTCATTTCCATCTCCGAGAATTTGAAGCCACTAAGACATATTGACCTTAGGAATACAGAACATATCTCGCACGACTGAACGGGGCTCACATGCAAGCACGCTTCCCACCCAAAAACGTCATCCTGTGCACGAGCGACATTAGTTTTGGCAGCCAGTATGAGCCGTGGAGCACCCACAGATTGGAATATACACCTGGGACAGCTGCGTTCTTGACCGAATTTGGCAAACCAGAGAGCCACCGTTCAGGCTTCCATTCGAGGGAGTCCTCTCCCCAAATAGACACGTTGACGTTGCAAGCCCACATACCAACAAGGACTTCTGTGCCTTTAGCAACGGGGATCTCGTGAATCATCTTGCCATCGAGACCTCGAATTGGTTCAGACAGCGGAAGCACAGTGTCTTTGTTGGGCCTGGAAGAGAGCAAGGGGCGTCAACGGATATGAGGCAGCTGTAGTCTTTTGTTAATACGTACACACGCATGACTGTGGTGTTGGCAGGGAATCTAAGACATTCCAATGTCAATGTCAGTAGTTCGCGGTTTCCAGACAACAATGCGCCTACAGGCGAAGAGTCTCGCGGCAGACTGCGTCCAGAACCGGCAGCTTATTGATTTCGTCGTAGGGTATACCCGTTCCTGCGCCCGCTTCAAGTATTTCCTGCCTCAGTTTGTCCTGCCAGTCTTGACGATCGGCTAAGAACTGCAGCATATGAACCAGCGCGTTCGAGGTCGTGTCTGTTGCTGCGAAGATGAGTGTCCTAATGACTTTGAGTCAGACTATAATGTCACTATGCAGGCACAACAGATCAACTCACGACATTTGTCCAATAAGCTCTTCATCTGTTAGACAATCTTCCACGGACGCCGCTTTGTTGGCCTTCACTTGGAGCCAGTCAGCACGGCCTTGTACGTAAGAAGGAGGATAAATAGTCGCCGTACTCAAGACGCTCATAATGTCCTTCCCCTCTCCGATTTGCTGGACGACCTCGTCATCGCCTTTCTCTAGTGCGCCCTTCTTTGATTCGTAGATCTCTACGGACCTCTTGGACATGCGATCAACCACTGACTTCACCTTCTGAACGTCTGTATTTGGAGACGCGTCAACAGCCAGGCGCCGCAGCCATGCGGGCCCGATACCATAGACGTACGGCAGTAGCCGCTGTAGCAGATCGATATTAACGAGAGTAGGCCTATGCTCCGGATTCAGCTTTCATACCCTTATAAATAGAGGACGAGAGGAATAACCCACAACAATGCCTTGAGAGCGTCGCCGTAGTCATCTTGCATCTCCGAGGCAAGTGAGCCGAACGAATACCCCAGACCACCCTGCCCCACCAGTTCGAGCGCAGCGCGTCCCGTCCAGTAAAGCATGTCGATTTGATCGCTACCGCCTTTGACCTGGTCGAGTATAGCATCGCGCATCTAGTCAAGGTCGATGACGCAATTAGTGTCAGGTAGGTCCACAGAACAAAATGTATCTGCGTGACTTACCTTGTGAATGACGTTATAGAACATGGGCAGCATGTGGCGCATATGGTTGACAGAGAATACCGGGTTCAAGATCTTGCGTTGCTTGCGGTGTTGCTCCCCTAACAAAGATGATTAGGTACGTACACTTTTACTGCGCGAGAAATATACCCAGTGTAGAGACCAGACCTTGTCCGAAAATCAAGAGATTCGTCCTGTCTATAGGGATGAGATCGCTTCCTAGACTCCTAGAATATATTCACTAACAGAATGAAGACGTTGGATTCTTGAAAGATATGTTCCTCTTTGATTATCATAGTATGCAACGCCTTGGGATCGCCCACTAGTAGCATCGGGCGCTATAACGTTGTCGGCATAAGCAAGGCTGGTCTATGGGTCATAGTGAGAGAACGTACATTCAGGAAGCTATGCAATTTGACAGTAGGCCCATAGTTCTTGAAGATTTCTTTCTGATGCTCAAAGGCGTGACGATTGAAGAATGGTACAAGAGAACCTATATCATGATAATGTATGGGCGAGGCAGAGTGCAGGGAAAGGGTAAGCTGACTGACCCTTGAGAAACGATGCAGAAGGAGGACCTGGAATATTCTCCAGTACACTGTTGACTGACCGACGACGGATTGTTTGATGGAGGTACCACAGCGAGCATCCAACGAGAGCAAAAGATAGACAGATAACCGCAGTACCCATGTCGAAGTGTCAGGCGCTCTGCATCCGATACTCACTACCTCTTCTTTATACTATCCCCTCCCGCCAGAAGACGTGCCTCACGTAGATGCGCATGTGTCTGCGGGCCGGCAGATTCAAGGTGAGTCTTTGTTGATGATGTGATTGTAGAAACGAGTGTCGGCGTCGGGTTCGAATAAGCGAGCGCGAAGGTTTACGGAAGCGAGCGGTGCGGGAAAAGATCAAATACAAAGCAGTTTGTCTCGTCCTCGGGGCGGGGAGGCAAACGCGCGCGGAAACTACATGCGGGAACTCGACCTAATATAGCAAAACCTTATCTAAATAAGGTACGAAGGAACAAGGCACTATCGCGCCGCAGCGCGGCACGTCGGCGAGCCGGTAGTCGGGCATGTGCTCGCCCAGTTGTTCCAACAGTGATGATGCAGGACGTACTACCCGATTTGTGATATCACCGAAGCCAGGGCATAGTTGTCAAGAATCGTGTATGTGTATCCAATCGGGGCCAAAGGATTTAACTCGGACATACTATTGCACTGGCCTCACGGGTGCCGCAATTGGAAGATAGACCAAGTTATATGTACTACGCCAATTAGTTCCGCTGCCGGTTGCCCTTCAAGACAGTCAATCAATGATGCACTGACAAGGTGCTACAACATAGCTCCCAGTGTGAGGGTGATTTCATGTTACCACATACATATGACTCTTGCTATAGGAGTTCTCGATCCTTACCTGACAGGCCAATGTGAGACTAAGTGCCTGTATGCGGTTTGATTTCGAACTGTACATCATGTTGAGACTTGAGCGCCGCGAGAGTTTGGCCCGTTGATGGGAAAGGTGACCCGCGTTGGCTTTTCGCTGGAGAACAATTGTGAGACTTAATTGGTATGGACGGAGATTGCCGTGCCATCATCAGTCACCTGCACATTTCTTCTTTCCCAGTTCACCCTACTTAATGCCCTTCATAATTGAATAGTTCCAACCCCGACTGATTCCGCTGTTGAAACGCGCAGCCCCGCGTGGTCAGGAACGAGCTCGAAAGCTCGGGCGCGCAAGTAGCCGGGGGCCGGAGGCCCCTATTGTAGTATATAACGACCCCGCGCGATGTACGTACCGCACGCGATTGTCCCTTATGGGCATCGCTACGCCCGTGGACAAACGCGCCCTGCGCCGTTCGCACCCTTGTTCCAACATCCGCAGCCACTGGCGATTGACAACCCGGTCAATGTGTGCAACGTGTGAAACATTTGTCTTTCCGTTCTATTCCTTGTACTACTAGCGCCCATACTGGCGCCTGTCTTAGCGCTCACCCGCAGGTTGAACATTATGTAGCTTACATAATGGGGTCCGTGCGCACTTCGTACTCGGCATCGTACCACTACATTCCTTTCTTCACTAACACGACCACATAGACACGATGGTCCGTGCGTAGTCGGTACTTGTATAAGTAGTTGTACCATTAGTCGGTCGAACTCTAAGTTCGACCTGGTTATTCATTCAAGTCTCTGCTCCTCTTCGCTTGGGGTAGTGGTCATTCTCGACTTCCTCGCTCGATCTTCAGGACGACGTACTGTCCACAAGTCCTCGCTCGTTGTCTACGAGTCAGGCATCGGTATAGGAGTATAGACCGTTGTATCAAAAGGTCGAACTTTCTAAGCTACGTTCCTAGTTTCACCTAGTCGAACAACTCATCCACCATCACGTCGAACAACGCAGTAAACCCGGTTCCCTT